AAAAAAAAATCCGTTCCGTGGGAAACTTTCGTTTGCCATAAGAGTCAGCCTGAACCACCAACACAGCTGCTGATGGGTCGGGGATGCCGACATTCTGACCACAAAATGGGGGATGCCAACATTCACGATTTCCTCCGATGGGACGCCACAAGAAGGACGTTTGCTGCAACCATTGTGTTCGCTCCATGAATTTTTGCGGCGACAATCGTGTTTTGTATTCATCATATCCCCTGTATTGTAGGGTATGCGAGGAAAAAACAACGAGACAAGACGCGCGTGTGTCGGTGCGTTGTGTTCTAAGAGCGAGTTTCACTGTAATTTCGCCGCCCAATTGGTGCCTCAGGCTTGGCTCCGGTACTGCTGTAAAGTCTCTGGCGATTTGCAACTGGCAGAGGTCAAGAAGATACACATGGTCGGGTATATTGTTTCGATGCGATCTCTACTGTAATGCCACCGGCGTGCTTTGCTAGCTCCACTCTGTCGTAGCTGTCGCCGCTTTACACTGCCGATATTTGCTGCGACGAACTGGTCTTCTCTCTCGCCATATTCTCAACAACGCATAACACCTATCACACACAGCACGAGCACGCACACGCACGCACGCATCATGCACATCACACACACGTTTCTCTATCTCGCCTATTCGCACGCTCGCTCTCCTTCGCCTCGCTCTCGTGCGCCCCTCTCTTGTGTTTCTCTCTTGGTTCTCAGGCTAGTATTTTTTTGGTCACGTCGTACAACATCACAGTATCCCCATTGCTGGGTCAATTCACGGTGCCGCTGAGTCACGTCGTACCTCGTACAAAAAGAGTCATGTCGCACCAAAAAAGTCACGTCGTACAACAAAACACACAAGATACATGTATGATTGTGAGCTACTGCAGCAGGCAGACCAGGCAGTAGAAAGAGATTCTCTCTCATGTGTCTCTGTCTCTCTCTCTCTCTTGTTGCCTCTCTCGTCACACGGGCTGTAAAAGTCACGTCCTACAAAAAAGTCACGTCGTACCAAGAAAGTCACGTCGTACAAAAATGTCACGTCGTGCAAAAAAAGTCACGTCGTACAACAAAACACACAAGATACATGTATCATTGTGAGCGACTGCAGCAGGCAGAGCAGGCAGTAGAGAGAGACTCTCTCTCTTGTGTCTGTGTCTCTCTCTCTTTGCCTCTCTCGTCACACGGGCTGTATAATTTTTTTGGTCACGTCGTACAATGTCACGACACCCCCATACTGCATGAGTATGGTAGATTTCAATTTCCACCGTGCCGCTGAGTCACGTCGTACAAAACCACACCTGCCAACACCATGGTATGGTACTGTGCGGACAAGAGATGCCCACCAAAAACAAGAGCATGCTATGGCTACAGAGGTGAGCAGATGATGTGGTAACCGCNACACCTGCCAACACCATGGTATGGTACTGTGCGGACAAGAGATGCCCACCAAAAACAAGAGCATGCTATGGCTACAGAGGTGAGCAGATGATGTAGTAACCGCGTTTCTCTCTCGCAAGTTCTCTCGCCTTCTCTCCCATCATCTCCCTCCTTTCCTTTATTCTCTCCCTCGTCTCTTTCTCTCTTTCTTCATCTCTCTATCTCTCTGTCTCTCTCTTTCTCTCCCTGTCTCTCTTTTCTCTCTTTCTTTTCTCTCCCTCTCCACAGTACGATGTAGTACAAGTGTCTACGTTCCAAGCCTGTTTGTTGCCCACAAGTACGCGCACACGCGGCGAGATTACACTCGCTACTGCTGCGGCGACACATTCGCTACCTGCTGCTCTCTATCTCTCTCTCTACTCTCTCGTTGTCTCTCTCGCTGCCTCTTTTTATTTCTCTCTCCCTCTCCACAGCAGTAGTAGAAGCGTGTACATTTCAAGCCAATTGCCCACAACTACACGCACACGCGGCGAGATTTACACTCGCTACAGCTGCTCTACAGCACACATGAGCAGATTACCAACACCTTCCTCCTTACACTCCTCTCTTCATCGTACAGATACCACTGGGAAGCCACGTGGGGACAAGATGTGTTTCGCACACAAGACACCCACTATGATCAGCCTGAATGCGACGCACTGTAAGTACGCCGGTTGTAGAAGATCTCCTTCGTACGGCTGTGTCTCCGAATCAACGAAAGGCCTGAGAATATTTTGTTCAGAACACGGCAAAGGCAAGAAAGGGATGAGCAACGTAAAGGACAAGAGGTGTGCCGAACCAGAGTGTAGAACCCTAGCCAACTATGGTTTCGGCAAGAGCACGTACTGTGGCCTTCACAAAAAAAATGGGATGAGTAAACGCGCGGCGTCGGCAGCTGCTTCGGTGATGCGGGGGCCGGTAGTATCATCGCCAGAATCAGCAGCAACGGTAGTGGACACATCGCCAGCATCAGTAACGGTACGAGAGGAGGATGGCGTGGGAGAGTTAGGGCAGAGACCAGCATCAGCGGCAACTGGGTCCGTACAAGATTCAGTGGTAAACACAACAGCGACAACAGCAGCGGGAGGGGAGTGTGAGAGAGAAGGAGGAAGGAAGCCACCAGAGCCGTGCAACAAGTCGGTTGCGGTAGCGGTAATAGCATTTGCGGCCGTGGCACACACATCGGATAGAGAGTCGTTGGTGAACACAGCAGCGAGAAATGAGGGGGAGGGGGAAGGAGGAGGGCAGCCATCAGGGTCGGTGGTCAACACAGCAGCGGCTACGGCGGGCGTGCAGGGCGAGGGGGAAGGGGCAGCAGCGGCAGCAGCGGGCGAGGTGGGGCGAGGGGAACGCGAGGACACATCTCCGGCGCCGGCAGCATCAACAGCTGTGGGCGAAGGCGAGGGGGACGAGAGAGAAGAATTGAGGAAGACGGTGGCGCGTTGGGTAGAACAAGAATTAGCAGCAGCGCGCGTAGAGGGGGAGGGGCAAGGAGAACCAACAGAGTCGGCGGTCAGTACAGCAGCGGCAGCAGGGAGCGTGCAGGGTGAGGGGGACGGGGCAGCAGCGGAAGCAGGGGATGCAGCGGGTGAGGTGAAAGACACATTTGCGGCTCCGGCAACAGCTGCACCAACATCGCCAGCACCAGCACCAGCGCCAGCACGAGCGGCACCACAAGGCGTTGAAGGCAGTTCGGGCACCGGAGCGGCGGCAAGCGGGGGTGGGAGTGGTGGTGGAAGCGGGAGCGGAGGTGTTCATGAACACGAGGTGAGTGTTGGCGATTCCAAAGCGCGTTGTGTCTGACACTTGACTTTCACGTAAGAAATAGGGGGCGATTGCGTTCGCCGAAAGAAAAACGGCAACTAAAAAGACAGCCTGTGTGACCCGAATTACTTTCTTCACAGCGGCTTTCTTGTTAGCGGACCGGTAGAACAGAGATGCATGTCGTCCAAACATTCGTATCGGCTGCTTCACCCTGTCACCGACCCACTCTTTTAACCACCCCTTCCATAGGAGTACGCCGTTCCCGTGGCCGAAGCGGACTCAGATGACGATGGTGCCGCCGTTGTGACGCCCGGACAAGGAGCGGATCCTGAGCAATCTGTCCTGGCGAGCGGTGAACGAGGGACAGTCGAAGATGGAGCGAGAGAGGAGGAATGCACGGCGCCAGCAACGGGTGGTGGGTGCATTTCGAGCGGCGGCGGTGGCGGTGGTTGTGGAGGCGGCGAGAGTGGAACGGCAATAGACGCCGCGACATCGGTGTCGGCAGCAGGAGCAGCAGGAGCCGGAGGCGTAGAGATGGCGTCATCCAGCAACCTAGAGCTCCTCGCCACCGTCTGTCTGCTCGAGGAAAACGGGAGTTGTGGAGGGATCGAGAGCGGCGATGGCGGCGATGGAGCCAGACACGAGGTGAGCGTTGATTTTCGAAGCAAGCTGAACATGTAGAAAAAAGGAGGGCGATTGTTGAACCCTCCCCGTGTTAGACATTATGACAGGCGGAAAGAAGACTGATACCCGTCCACCCTCCGCTTTTCCCTGCTCCACCCTCTTGACCACTTGTTTCAATAGGAAACGGTTCCGATCGAAGACGGTGCACCGGACCTTTCACAAGAGCTCGTGGCCACACAGGTGAATGGCAGTCAGCCAGTGGTGGAAGGTGACGTGACTGTGCAGGCAGCGGGAGAGGCCGGTACCGTCGACATGATGCCGACCTCTGTCGAGTCGGCGGATGTGGCACAATGGCCAGGCAGCAGCAGCAGCCGCAGCCGCACCGGCGGTGGGAGCGAGAGCGGGAGCGGGAGCGGGAGCGGGAGCGGGAGCGAAAACGGAGGTGGCGCTGAACACGAGGTAGGTGTGAGCGATTCAAAAGCGCATTGTGTCTGGGACTTGAATTAAGGTGAAACAAGGGGGTGGCTGCTTTCGGAAAGAAAACGGCTTGAAATCAATGCAAGCAAACGCGAGTCGTCACACACTGCAGAGATGCATGTTGTCCGAACTTTCATATCGACTGTTTCTCTTGTATCCACTCCTTGCATAGGAGGACGCCATTCCCGTACCCAGACGGTCGGGCAGGGTGGTGGGCTTTTCTGCGCTGGAATCGCCCAGCGTGGTCCGCCTGCTCGACCAAATTCGGGCGGACGACCCAAGGGTAAAGGTTCTGAAGCTTCACGACTACATCCCAGCGGACGTGGGCACGATTATCATCGATGCCGTGCTGGAGGCGTTGATGATCAATAGCAACTGTCAAGCTCTCTACATTCAGAACGTAAGCAATGGTTTTCGAGACGAACAGCTTATGAGGCTGGCCGAGGTGCTGCGCAGGGGCTTGATTTGGTGCCTGAATGCGGGAGAAAACTCCGAGATCAAGGCGTCCACGTGGTGGAACTTCGTCGAGGAGATACAGAACACAAACGTCACGGTAAGCGCGAGAAGCATTTGTACGGCGTCGTCCATTTTGCTGTGCGTGGATACCTTTTATTTCTGAAGATAATTGATCACTCTTTCTTTTTGCTGATGCCCACCCTCGTCGTTCGTACCATACAGCACGCTTATCTCAGCGAGGGATCGGTCCCTAGCGGCCTCAAGAACGCCATGCAGAAGGCCATCCGTCGCAACAGACTCAAGCACGACCGCCACCTGTCGGCTTCAAATGTCGACGTAATACAGCGATGTACCCACATGTGGTGAGAGAGTGTGTACTACTAGGCTTTCGTCCGAGTTTTTGGTAAATGCGTCGAGAGAATCAAGACTACCGGCCTCCACTTTTAACCACACGTTGGCCCCAATTCGCAGGTGGAACCCCATACGCTCCAAGAAACTGCAGGCGGAGCTGAAAGCGGCCGAAGTAGCAGCGAAGGGGAGAAGCGGCGGCAGCAGCGGCAGCAGCAGCAGCGGAGGCAACAGCGGAGGCAGCAGCGGAGGTAGCGGCGGCCGTGGGAGCGAAGACGATGAGAGCGCAAGGGTATCAGGGTCGGAAGCAGGAGGAGCAGCAGCACGAGAAGCAACCGCCGAGAAGCCGAGCGGGGGTGGGAGTGCGGGCGGGTGTTCCACCGCTGCCAAGGGTAAGGGAAAAAGAAAAGCGGCGACTACGTCTACGCAGGAGCAGCCGGGGAAGAGAGCAGCTGGGCGAAAGGCGACAAGGCGTCCAAAGCCGGCCACCGAGGAAGAGGTGTGTATGTGTTTCCCCGCCGTTTTCGCCAAGCGTCTCCCCCGACAATCGCATTGATCTGAACGAGTTCTCTCCCCCCTGTGAACGAAATGTCCCCCC